CCTATCCCCTGTGTGCCTTGCTCCCACGACTAACCATACGGAATCGGCTCAGATAGCCATGAAATCCAATTTGAACAGGATTGGTGTCTTTTTCCCTAAAAAATATATCTCAAAGATGTATTGTCAATCTAAAGCTTTAGAGTTCGATAATATCAACCATGGCAATGATCTCAATGTGGAAGTTTTCTTTTTTAAAAAAAATATAAATGTTATTTTTTGAAGGAAATAGTTTATATAAGGTTTCAACCTTAAAATGTAGAAGTAAAGATGCGCCTAAAAAATCTATCAAGAAAGGTTGTTTTAATGTTGAAAAACCGCTTAATTGATTATCTCGACATTGGGATGTATGAATATTAAAAAGAAAAAAAAAAAATTGAGTCCCGTGCATATTGCAACACATTATCTTGACAGTCCATTTTCAAGATTTTCATATGTGCATAGGTTTACTTGATTTTAACCATTTTTGGAGTTTAAAAATTTATAATTAGACAATAAAATAGATTTTAACATAATCCTAAGGACATTGTACACCAAAATTATATGTTATGATAAAATTTGGAGTTGCACCTTAATTGGATTGTTTAAGGTTGCAACCTCATAGAAACTACGCCATTTTTTTAATTCCTCTCTTCACCGTCTATTTTAACTTTTAGCGGATATAACATTTTCTTACATCCACCTTGAGATGGAATCTAGATGGACAAGGGACTGCATGGTAATAGGTGAGTCGGCTCATCACCGAAACAAAAACCGTGTCCTTTGGGGATTGCAGTAAGGACCCATGGTTTTTGCTGGTCCTTACCCAAGACCATGGTGGAATTCCCAAGACCACGGCCGGAATCGAAGGCAAGTGTGGGACCCACCACTTGGGTCATGTCATATTCTTGTGGGTCCTACACTCTATTCATGCCCCTCCATCTTTTGGACAAACAGTGAGCAATACTTTCACTATAGTCACATGGATCATAGTGTACTTTGCCTGCTCATAATTTTGAGTTGAGTTTTAATGTGATAAGGTTGGTTTTCATTATGAAATTAGATGAAATCACAAACTCAAAAGGCACAAACTCAAACGTGTACAAGCTCTTAGACAACCATTCCTGAAGCCACACAAAACCCAAAAGACAACACACAGAGATTCTAGTATGAGATTTTTGAACACTAATCCACAAGGTAATATGAATCACCTATAAGCTTCATGTCAAATCTAGAAACCATAAAGATGTAAGATAGGATGCATTAGTGCCGCGCTACTGGGCTTTTGAGCCGAAGATAAGGTTAGCTAGTCGTTGCTACCGGGCTTTTGAGCCGAAGATAAGGTTAGCGCTGCGCTAGGCTAGCCGTTGCTTCTTGCATGAAAACAGATGCGCTGACTTAAACAAACCACGCGAAGTCCTTACTAAAAATGCTCAACATTCTAGGGACCAAGCCTGAATCCAATTTTTGGAGGGGAATGAGAGATTTCCAAGATCCCTTTCAAGTTCTCAACTATTTATTTCCTTAATCTTTAGCATAGTGATTTAGTGAAAACAATTCAAAGAATTTCATAGTTTTTAGGACTAAATCTTCATCATCTATTTAGAGAAATTTCATCTTTGGGAGAAAAAAATTAAACACTGATGGTTGATGGATTTGAGACTTGAGGCCTTCTTCATAAGATTTGCTGTGCTTAAAACCTTAGCCAAGGTAATCTGATTTTATTAAGGACATGAGGGCCGCAACATTAAAGTCCGATATTCAAATTAAGCATATACTCAACCCCGCAAAAAAAAAACCAAAACTTCTCTGCATCAAAGAAAAACATTGGATTTGAGCTTTACACTATCCACAAAGCTTGTTAACAATAGCCAACAACCTTGAAGAGACCTGGTTTTGAAAGAATAAAAGCAAGTCCAACTATTGAGTCTAAGCTTACATGCTAATGAGCATTGATCATAATCAATCACCATGAAAAGGAAAGTAGAAAAACAAACAGGAGCACTACAATGCTTCAAATATTATGGCTGTTCAAATAATGAATTAAGAGCTAAATTGAATTGGATTCCTGTTTTGATGGAAAGAAAGAAATAGAAAAAGCTTGAACCCGAGCATCTCCAATTTTCAGAATGAATTTCAATCGTTATAGTCTTCAGGATTCAACCACCACGCCATGAAACAGAAGGAAAACAGGCCCAATTCTCTTTGGAAACACCCCATGAAAAATCAACCAAAAAAATTGCCATACAATTCCATGATTCCATCGTATTCCCCTGTTCAAGAGTGCCAGAGATCTGAGAAGTGAAATAAACGCATCTTCTGGTTCAAGACCAAGGCTATCTCTCTCTCTCACATAAAACACAAGCACCATGGGAGCTTCAATTCTTCAATGAAAGAAGATCTGACCAGAAAAAAAATGGGGGAGAACAAAAATTTGGAAGAGAGAGAGAAACTAAAAAAATTGTAAAAGAGAAAGAGAGAGAGAGACTCATTTCCTCTAATTTGATATATATCACTACAAAACCATGATCAGAAAGGAAACAACCTTACTCTGCAACCTTCACTGATCAATCGGTCAATCTTGATCTTGTTCCTCGTTTCCATGGCTGAAGAACAGAGTCTCCGAATCTGTGAGGCATCGACTGCAACCTACTTCTCTTTGACCTCAAACCCACCGCAACAATCCCTTCTCTCTCCACACTCTTCTTCTTCCCAGCTGAATTTAATCGACCATTACCAAACTGATTAATCCTCAAATGCATTTCACTAGAATCACTTTCTCTCACCTCATCCCTCTTGTTCTCCTCTGAATTGAAAATGCCGCTACCGATCTTGATGAACTTCGAAGCTTTGTTTCTCCTTCTGATAACCTTTCTCTGAGGAAATGGGATTCCAAAAAACGACCCCCACTCTGTTGAAACATGGCCAAGATCATATTCAATGGGGTTGAGAGCCGCTTGAGCCAGGAGATCAAGACCCCTGCACCTCTCATGGTATTTGGAGCTTGACTCAGAGGCCAATTCAGACGAGGAAGTCACCGTAGAGAGAGAAGAAGACGGAGAAGAATAATTATCCAGAGACGACGAAGAAGGGGGAGGAGGGGTGAACAGAGGCTTGGATCCATCGATTTTGTTAAACTTTTCTCTGCAAATTGAGGAGTGGGTTTTGTCGAGATTCGTCTGAAACTTGAGAACTTCAGAGGGGGAGAGATCTTGTGGCCGTTTACCTCTGATCCTCATCTGATCTATCTTTCAATTCCAGCTCTTTGGTGGGCGAGAAGCGTGGCACAAAGAATCTCAAGTAAAGGAAGAAACGCGATTTGCGAGAGAGAGAGAGAGAGAGAGCGTTTAGTGGGTGCAGAGAGTTGCCGAGAAAATGGAAGGGAAATGAGAGAGAGAGAGAGAGAGAGAGTAGTTAGTGGTGCGAGAGTAGTTGACGAAGAAAGTAGGA